CCCCCCCCAAAAAACAAAAAAACCCCCCACAGCCACCCCTAAAAAACAAAAACCAAAAACCAAAAAAAAAAAAAAAACCCTTAAAAAAAAAAGGAAAAGAACAAAGATGGAGGACTCATATTTCCTGATTTTAAAACTTACCACAAAGGTATAGTATTAAAGTAGTGCAGTACTGGCATAAAGGTAGAAACACAGAGTAACAGAAAAGTTAAGAGTTTGTTTGATAAGGGTACCAACACCATTCAATGGGAAAAATAATAGGGTCTTCAACAAATGATGCCAAAATACAAAAAATACACACAGAACAAAATATACACACAAGGAAAAGAATGATGTTGGACCCCTTACACCTCATTATCATACACAAACATTAACTCAAAATGGATAAAAGATCTAATTAATGGAGTTAAAGACTATAAAACTTTTTATTAAAAAATGTTTATTTTTAAGGGAGAGCGAGCACACATGAACAAGGGAGGAGCAGAGAGGGGTATAGAAGATCCAAGGTGGGCTCTGACAGCAATTGCAGAAAGCCTGGCATGGGACTCAAACTCTCAAACTGTGAGATCATACCTGAGCCAAACTCGGACACTAAACCCAATGAGCCACTCAGGTGTCCAAGACCATAAAACTCTTAAAAGAAAACATAGGCATAAAATCTTTATGACCTTGGACTTAGCAATGGATTCTTAGATATGATACTAAAAGTATGAGCAGTAAAATGAAAAAAAAAAAAGTGGATTTCATCAAAATTAAACTGTTGATAGCTAATTAAGGACATTATCAAAAAGTCAAAGGACAACCTATAGAATTGTGAACATATTTGCAAATCACACATCTGTAAGTGTCTAGTATACAGAATATATAAAGAACTCTTACAACTTAACAAAAAGACAATCTCCTGAAAAAATTGGCAAAGGACTTAAAACAGACATTTCTCCAAAGGAGATAGCTAATGGCCAACAAGCATATGAACAAATGACCAACAACACCTATCATTAGGGAAATACAAGTCAAAACCACAATGATACACCTACTTCACACCCACAGGATGGCTAGGATAATAATAACTTTTAAAAAGGTGAAGAATAAGTGTTACTGGCAAAATGTGGAGAAATTGGAACCTCAATACACTGTAGATGGGAATATAAAATGACACCATGGGAAGTCTGGTGATTCGTCAAAAAATTAAACATAGAATTACCATAAAATTCAGCAATTTTATTCCTAGTTATATACCCAAATAAATGAAAACAGATACTTGAACAAATACATGTACCTTGATATTCATAATAGCACTATTCACATGAGCAAAATGTGGAAACATCCCAAATCCATTAATGATTGAAAAATCAACGGAGGTATATAAACAATGGCATATTATTCAGACATAAGAAGGAATGAAATACTGATACACGCTATGTGGATTAACCCTCAAACATTCTGTTAAGTTAAAGAAGCCAGACACAAAAGGTAACAATATGGCATGATTCCATTAATATGAAGTATCCAGAATAGGTAAATCCTTAGAGACAGAATGCAGATTGGTGGTTCCAAGAGCTGGGGATTAGGGCAAACGGATAGTAACCACTTAATGAATGCAGAGTTTTCTTTTGGGGTGATGAAAATAAAAATGTTTTGGAATCAGAGAGAGGTGATAGTTTGAAACCTAGCTTTAATAAATGAATTCTAGGAATTTTACTTCCCCCTGTTATCCTGTGTATATTCAACATTAGAGCTCACAGACAATACAATAAGGCAAGAGAAAGGAATAAAAGGCATACATGTATTGGAAAGGATAATATATGTAGAAATGGTCTTCAATATTGAAAATCCTAAGCAGTCCATGAAAAGGACTAGAATAATTAGAAAGGCCACAGGATATAAGATCAATACACAAAAATCAACTTTATTTCTACATATTAGAAAATGAAGAACAGAAAATGGAATTTTAAAATAATCTCCTTTAGAACAGCATTAAAAAACATTACATACTCAGAGATATATTTAACAAAATATATACAGTACTTGTATAATGAAAACTATAAAATACTGTTGGCAAAAATTAAGGAATAGCTAAGTAAATGTAGAAAGATAACATGTTCCTGCACTGAAAGCTTCGATAGTATCATGATGTTAATTTTTTCCAAACTCACGTGAAACACATCAGTTTATTTTTATTGTGTACCTACCTTACTGTGTTTCTCTTAAGCTAATTAAAACAAATCTATCAGTCAAAAGGAAACTCAGAGGTTACATACTTTTAACTATCCAACTGAAGTATCAACTAGTTATGTGGCTGAGAAGGGAAGATGATGACCAGCTTTGTTTATACATACATTCTCACAAATTCTCTCCATGTGAAATGAAAGTAAGCTCTCTAAGGTTAAAAGGTGAGAAAGTGACGTACCTGTGGTGAGGGTTGCTGAATATATCCCTGCTGCTGAAGCACAGGCTGGCTGACAGGATGGCCAGAGGCAGCATAGCCAGCAGAAGGGACTGGCTGCCCAGGTGGCAGGGGAGGGGGAGGAGGTGGTGGCGGCGGCGGCGGCGGTGGTGGAGGGGCTGCCGTCATGATATAACCAGACTGCTGTGGGGACTGAAGAACAACAGTGGACTGGAACATGGTGGCATGAGGGTCAGAACCCTCTGCAGATGGCTGGCGGGCAAGACTCATGTGGCTAAACTGAGACCCAAGGTTGTCCTGCTAAATAAAAAAAAAAAGGGAAAAGTCAGAAATCAGTAAGCCTTCCATACATACATAAATCAAATTTATATAAAAAATACTTCATATATTTGAAGATAGACTGCAGTATTATGGATAACATGTATTCATAAGAGATTATGATTTAAGAGAACAGCTTCAATAAAATTAAGACCGTAAGGCAGGAAAACAGAAATATTATAATACTGTCATTAACAAATTACTTTTAAAGTAGATCTAATGGAGTGTGTAGCATGCAGAAAAGTAGAGTGTAGAAACATTTCACAATAAAAAAATGAAAAGACACTTATTTAAATGATGATTAAAGGCACATTAGGATGTAGAAGTGAAACTGGACATATTTATATTATATTGTATAATTAACATTTTCTGAAAGGACTTCAAGGACCAGGTAACTAACAAGGCACAGTACTAATTATTCTTTATCCCTCTTTCTAAAAGGCAAGATTCTGGTTCTATGTACTTTTGTTTAGCTTATCGTATCTGTTGAATATACTAGTAGAAATGAAAAAAAAATGGATAAAATCTATCCACCGCAGGCCTCTAATCTCTCAAAAATTATTTGGCCATAAATTCTTTCTTTCACAGGATTTTTCAGTCTCTTCCTAAAGTCAGATGTTAGGCAAATGTAATCCAAATGAGTTTCCTAATGTTTTGGCTACTTGGTGAGCAGGCAGCCATGTCCAGCCAAGAGAGGTTTCTAATTTACATGCCATCTGACAAATGTTTTCTCTCACTCACCAGCCTAAGGACCAGTTTTGACTAGTCTAGACAATATCACTGAAATGACAAAAAATGGGATTAAAATGGCATTCCCTTGCTCCCAAAGTGCCACAGATTGGCAACAATATATACCACATTTTATTAAGAGGAGAATTTTGGAAAAAGTTACTTAAAAGAATTGTGGCAATTGAGTTCTCAGATCAAAGTTGACATGTATGCAATTCCTACAGTCTGTTGGTTTTTGCAAAGTACATTACAGCTATGGAAAAGACAGGGTCTTGAAAAAGGGAATCTGATTTAATGACTGAAATACATGGTTTTACTCTTCCCAGCGCGTGCTCTGACAAACTCTAGTACTATTAGCCTAATTCAATGAATACTTTCAAAAGGGAAAAATGTACTAAAATATACTATTAGTTGTAATTACACAGTAATCTGGCCAAATATTTTAACTATACACTACCATCAGAGTCATCTTGAAAAAAAAAGTAATTTTCTTATTCCAACAATTTGCCATTTTTCAAAACATTTTTGAGGCTTTTATGTTATGCTTATTGATCTTCTCAATGCTGGAAAAATTTTACTTTTTCAGATCGGAAGTGATTTCTGAAAATCATTCATAGCCAATGCTGGTAAATAAGGTCGCCCCCAGGTCAAAATAAAAACTCTCAATATAAGAAAATGTTTCTAAAAAATGTCAACTGATTTTAAGACATAGCTTATAGTTTAGCTTAAAAAGTAATGTCAAAATATGGTGCCATATATTCGAAAAATAATAGCATAACTGGGAAAGTTTATTAGGCTGATAGGGAGACTCATTTTAAGGGAAGGGAAGTAACATTTATTGAATACTCATTTCATGTTAGGCCCTAGGCAAGAATTCCATACTTTTACACTGTTGTCTCATATACTTAGTAACTACAGAAGGTCACACAGAGAATACATGGCACTGGTGCTTATAAGCTCTTACTGAGAAGTAGAACTTGGGGCATACTTTGGGTTGGAGAAGATACCATTTATTACCTCAGATGCAATATCTAAAGATCTTCTTAGGAATAGACTTAGGAGAATGTCTTAGGTAACCGTAAGCTCCAATTCACCCTAATAACTGGGATAAGTCTACAGGACTGGGGAAAGAATAGAAAGCCTTAAACCCAGATGAAGGCTGCCACTCCAAGACTGCACGGATCACACTGACCTCAATGAGAAAAGTAGCTAAACCACCTTAGGACTAGAACAGTCAAACTGAAAATCATTTCATTATGGAAAAGCAGGAAAAGATTAGGATTTATATAAACACTGTAATAAGCCAATATGACATTCTATAGTAGAGTAAATTACTTCTAATACAGGTTAGAAACACTTTTTCGGTGTATGTGTCCAGGACTTCAAATAATCACAAAAGATCGTATCACATTAATCACATCCATGAGCATCCATCACACATCCACCCACAGAAACAATGCAGGAGGTGAAGAGAGATATAGTACCACGGAGTATTGCTGGGTGGGTGAGACTGGCAGGAGCGGGGATGGGTAAGGGGCTGTAGAGTACTGAACAGGCTGTGAAGAGGACTGCAGAGGACGAACAGGCTAAGGAATAACAGGTTGGCAAACAATGTTAATGTCAGAATAAAATGTTACAAGAATTGCATAAAATGGAAAGTCACACTTTTTTGGCAACAGCTTAAACTACATTTATAAAGTCATCTTATACAATGATAATAGGAAACAACAAGAACAATGCTAAAGGAAGAAACTCTACATAGTAAAAATTTTACAAACATACCTATGCTTTAATATATAGATAGTTTTTTCTTAAAAATGTTAGATTCATTGAAACAGGTAACTTAGACATTTCACATCCTATTATCTAACCAAAACCCCTAGGTTTAGTCAGTAAAAACAAAACCACTCATTCTTACTTCCTGGTTTGATGAGGGGCTGTTCTATTTAGTGTTATAACACTACATAAAAGAAAAACTTCATTTATTATCAGACAATGAAAACTTACATGGTATCTATGCCAATTACTATCTGATAAGGTACGATTAAATATTCTTTTAGGACTAGAGTGTGTGAATTTCAACAATTTTCACTTTTTAAAATTTATTTACGTTTTTAATTTTAGCAGTTTTTAAAGTATAGTATGTTGTGGGTACCACTAAGAGTAACAGCCTAAAGAACAATACACACATACACACAGGCACATGCACACACACACATTTCTTTTACACAAGGAAGATAAACACATTTGTCTTGAAACTAAAAATTTTGATCGAGAGAGTAGATCCATCTGGACCTTAAAAACTAGTGATTTAAAATTTTTTCACTAATGAAATACTGCATTTCAGGAAAATAAGCATAAGTTTTACATTTCCCAGGGACACTCAAAAACAGACATTACAGAAAATGAAAAATGTTTTATCATTTTTAAACCTTAAGGAGTAAAGCTGGCCATCTGGAGGCTCACAGTGGCATCTGATTTAGTTTCCCAGTCTTATATTTATATTAGACAGTTTATTACAAAAGGGTGATATATATACTGGCTTAAAGACTCATAACCCATGTTATCGAAGTGGCAATCAGGCTAAGATAAGTGACTTGTAGACAGCCAAGTAAACAAGCATTGGAGGAACCTAGGTCATTTTTACCTAATGAAAACTCTCACTTTTGCTTAAAATGTATATACACGAATCTCCCTCTGGACAGGATTTCCTAAAAGAATACTTCAAAAATATAAAATAAGCTAACTGAATAGGCTTTTCCATGGAATAATCTAAGTAAGGAGAAATTTTTATGACAACTCAGATGTGTAATGGTGAGTTGCACTTCTACCACAAAAAGGCTTAGATTAGAATCTCAAAAAAAATCCAGAATTAAGGTAGAAGTACTCAACATGGTAAAAGCTGAAAAATTTATAGAGCCACTGGTCCCTCACTAACCTCTTGACTAGAAATTAGCGGGCTTCCTACCAGATGACAGCACACATCACACTAAATGAGGCTGCAGCAGCTTTAGAGCTTCCAAGTACAGGCTATTCAATGTGTTATTAAGTCAGATAATCATTAAGACATAACTTTCTTCCAGACATCTTGACCTACTATGTAAGTGTCAGATGAAACAAAAGCTTTAGTATGCTGGAAGATAAAAGAAAGAGGAGTTCGATAGCACCAATCGTATGAATTAATGTTTCCCAGAGTGTCAAGTGGTAATGAGACAAATGTGGGTGGGAAGAGTGGTTGATCAAAGTGAAATTCTGGCACCCCTTAGAAAAGAAAAAGCCTTAGCTTTTCCTTTTTCTACTTAAATTGCAAATGGCTGCAAAACAATATCCACTTCAAGTGATTGGTTTTAGGAAATGCAGCCCATCTGAAACACTTTGGAAATCATACTACTATTTTGTTTGGTTATTTGAAATTTCATGGATAGATTATCTCAGTGCAGAAAGTAGTTACTGAATGTAATTTGTTCATCACTTCTCTATTTTGATATCTGATGATGAATTACCTGAAACACCTGAAGCGACACCAGAAAAATCAACCACAAAGTTTGATGCATATCTTGAGATTTCAAATTACAACTCATTAAGGCTCTATTCCTATTTTTTAATGTTTGTTTATTTTGAGAGAAAGAGAGCAAGTGAGGTGGGAGAGAAGAGAAATAGAGACAGACAATCTGTTGTGGGTTCCTTGCTGAGAGAACAGAGCCTGATGTGGGGCTCAAACTCAGAAGCCACGAGATGATAACATGAGCTCAAGTCAGACGCTAAACCAACTGAGCCACCCAGGCACCTCTAGGTTCTATTTCTAAACTAAGGTGTCTACACCTTCATTTAGGATTGTCTCATATATAAATCAGACAAAATTATTTCTAAGAGATAATAATCTGGAATATGTAATCATAGATAAATCCTTAGACTTTTTTGAAGCTGCCAGATAAATATTATTTCTGTTTAACGAAATGAAAACGAGTCCTACAAAGCTCCTAGTGAAATACATAGCAAGGCACAGGAAACTGACAGCAAAATGAAGGAGAAACACTTCAGGACCTAAGTGAATGAAGGCAAGGCAGAGAAAGAAGGCCAGTGAGGGCGTTTAACGTATTCTAATGTGCACCTGTGCGTTTTTCATCAAATGGGGCTGGGAAGTGGATATGAGGGTCTTTGGAAACAGTTTAGGCAACTTCCACTTCATATATTTGTATGTCTTAAAAGCACATCAAAAACCTAGGAATCTTACTTTATATAAACTAGCTTGCCCAATATCAGGAGTCTTAATTGCCAGAGGTACAATTATTTACAAAACTTTCAAAGTATTTGATAATATTACCAAACTGCTCATACATTCTTCACCCTCGACAGCAAAATTAATGAAATTTCTCCAGTTCAAGTTTATCACCATACTTCTTTCATAAGTATTTTGCAAGTTCTCACCAGTGGAATATTTAGATAGCCTTATGCAGAAAAAGAGGTGTAACTAACTGTACAAGCTGTTGTTGATATGTTATACCACCTTTAAAGGATAGAATAAAAGTAAATGAGTTTATGTGTAGCAACATGGATGGACCTTGAGGGTGTTATGCTGAGTGAAGTAAGTCAGGCAGAGAAGGACAAATATCACATGTTTGCACATATAGGAGGATCAGGAGGAACTTAACTGAGGACCATGGGGGAGAAGAAGGGGGGGAAATGGTGGGGGAAAGGGAGAGAGGCAAACCATGAGAGACTCTTGAATGCTGAGAAACAAACTGAGGACTGATGGATGTGGGGGGTAGGGGGGAGATGGGCATGGAGGAAGGCACTTGTGGGGATGAGCACTGAGTGTTATATGGAAACCAATTTCACAATAAACTATTGGTAAAAAAAAAAAAAAAAAAAAAAAAAAAGTAAATGAGTTGACACTGGCATAATCGAGTTCCGCAAGGATGAATAGCAAATCTATAGGGGAAAAGCCAGAACGTGAAAGTGTATGTGCAAACTCTAAACATTTATACATATTCAAGATAGTACTAAGAGTGTTTCTGTGAATTCTAATTCAGAATGTTTTTGCCTCTCTCTTTCATAGGGTAGGTGTGATGCAAAGTACCTTGCCAAACTTGAGCAACTCAAGTTTCTTCTATCTTCTTGATCTGTTGAACCTTAGAACAACGTATTAACTCACTGGCATAAACTTAGTTTTGTTTTTATTCCTTTTGACCATCTCTGCTGTTGTAGAATATGGAGAACATACTCACCACAAAGGCTCATGTGATACAAAATTTCCTTCTTTCCAATATATATTTCGCATTTTAGCTGAAAATCCTGTGAAGTTAACCTCTCTTCCTACAAACAGGGAGCGGACATCACTGTGCAGAATATTAAAATTCTAAGAGATACTTGGGCTAGCCCAATTATAATTAGTGAGTTTAGTCTCAAATACGCAAAGGGAGGTGAACTTAGCATTATGTAATCACGGATATGTGCACCTGTGAGAAAATGTGATTAGCTGCTTGTTGTTGAGGTGGTGGGGGTGCCAGAGGTGGCTGTGGAGGTCCAGGCACTTGGGTTCTAACAGGTTGTTGAGTCATAGGAGGATTATACACAACTGGACTTCCATCTGGGTTTATGAAGGGCTGACCTGAAAAATTATAAGAGGAAGGAAAATCATTTACAACTGAGACTGAACATAGGTCATTCTATGAACAATTTATAACACCGGTCTATAATCCTTACTCACAATCCTAAAGCCCCAAGTTTCTGAAACTTGGGGAAACAAAGTCTGACCCTACATGAGGTTATTTTAATAGTCTTTATTTTTCTCACTTAGAGTAAATATTTGAATATTTTGCTGCAGTGTTTTACTATGTGGATGCTGCTCCAAAACCTCTTGGGTGTTATTTTATGATACACAGCAATTTTCGAAAAACTCTGAATTCTGAATACCTTGCTCAAGGGATTCAGTTATAGGACTGTGGTCTCGTAGTGCTTTAACGATTTCAGTTTTAAGAAAAAATTACTGACTTTGGGATACTGGAACATTATTAATTAGCCTCTACTAGGTAGTGAGTAAGAGCTAATTTATAGACCACAATGCATATACTTAATTAGTGAAATTAACACAAGATGAAAATTAAAAATGCTTGGCAGCTTCAAATTTGAAATCATGGACTTGATGGCAGGGTCCTTATTTTATAACTTCTAAAGCTGTAAATAAGTTTTGAACTCTAAAGAATTTTATAAAATAATTTCTTTTTTAATTCCAGTGAGCTTGATTCACAAGTATGAAAGAGAACTTTAATACTGATTTAGGGGCTTCCTGTTACTGCTTACTAAATACTGGGAGGGGGGGTGGGGGGAGGAGGGATGGCTATGACAACTTTTTCTTATTATAAAAATATTTTTATTGTGGGAAAATAACCGATAAATAGAAAAAAGGAAAATAAATCCCCATAATCTTATAGTTAACAATTTGGATACCCTTCTTCCAGACTTTTTTTCAAAGCACAGGTAAATAGATACACAGATTAATATTTTTCCTTACACTATATTATTTAAAAAAAAAGAAGAGGAAAAAAAGGGGACTACGTGAAATACACGGACTATGATACCCATTTAGAATGGGAAGAATACAGAAGAAATGAAAGAAATTTGACTGAACAATAGTGTTTAAAGTTGTCTTCAGAATATCCTTTCTTCCATGGTAAAACCTTCTATTTGGTTTTTTAAAACTCATGACATAGTAAAAATTGTGGGGAGAGAAGAATACATTGTTCCATTGATACCAAGTGGGAAAAGTCCTTCTAATTCAAATAATTTTCATTGATTTCTTGATAGTTTAGTTATATGAAAACAAACCATGCTGGGTATTTGTTGATTGTAATTCTGAATAGAAATGGTAGAGACGATTTGGGTGGAAGCATGCATAAAAGTAATTTAAGGACTGTTTGAAAAAGTTGGATGTGTTATAATGCTGTTCTCAAAAAGCAAAGAGGCCACTTTTGAACTCACTTAAAATTAAGAATACAATTCAATTTTAGGTTTATCTGTTGCTTACTCTATAATTTCCTAGTCAGTTGAACCTTTCATATTATAAAAAAAAAAACCAATATGTTTTGAATGAAAAGTAATAGTAAATACATTAAGTAAGTATATTAATTCATCTTATATCCTGCTTCAGAGAAACAGTAAGTTTAGTAATATAAATAAATCTGAAGGAGAAGAAGATAATGGTTATTAAGCAAAAACAGAATTTCTGAATAGTCAGTTATTCAATTCTTATAATAGAAACAAATGTTCCAATACTTTATCTTAAAAAACAGATGCAAAGAAATCTGATGGTAATGAGTTCCAAGCCATGGTCTTCTCTACAACAAACAAAAGAAAAGGTTCAGAGCACACAAAGACACTCTCATCTGTACCTACCTCACTCAACTACTGCCATGCTGATGTGACCACATGAGTTAAGGGTGCAAATTTCTAAGAAAGGTTATCAAATGATTTATAAGGTTGTTCTCATTATCCTGCAAAATTACTGGGCCATAATGTTTTGAATAGAGACTAGACTTCATGTGATCTTTTAAAAGATCATGTTTTCTGTACTGCATACTGCATGCATAATGAAATGTACTATGACTGTAAGTTTCTTAATCTCTTTGAGGTTCAGTTTCCTGATACGTAAATGGGGATTTCACCTAACAAATAAAGTTATTATAATGATTCTGAGTAATGTGTTTCAAGCACCTAACATAGTACCTGATATACTGTAGATGCTGAAAAAATGAGAATTATTACCTAAATGCAAAGAATATGTGTCTTCAGTATGAATTCATAAAGACTACCTATTTCCTTTTTCTAACAATAACATGTGCCTTACCTTTTCCTTAGGGGAAAACAATTACTATATTCTGAAGGACAATAACTTATATGTCCTTTCTGCTTCATCCTACAATGATTAAGAGCTGCTTACTTTCTCTTTCTTTATGAAATGCATACTATTTTCCCCATGATAATTTTTAGTTTTTTTTTAATCAAATAAAGCTCTTCAGTGGTCGTTGTCTCATTTCTAGGAAATGAACCATTTTTCAATTATGGTTAGGCCATAATTTGGCCTAAAAGGTGATGTCTGGATGTCATAAAGAGAAAAATACTTTCTGATATAAATATGTCTTATAACATTTTCTAGCAGAAATGTTTTATTTAAGTTCTAGGGAAAATGCTAATTATTCATGAAAACTTAAAAACTGACAATACATATGTACAGATAATACATTTAATACACATTTTTTGCTTTTCAGTAACTCCTGATATCTCAACTGAAATAAACACCTTTTTCTTGATACCAACCTGTTTGTGGGTTGATCAGAATACTGCCAGGTGGTATGCCTGCCGCTTCCAAGGGAAGCAGAAAGAAGCTAGTGCTAGGAGATGCGACTTGCCCATTTAGGCCACCATCAAAGGAAAGAGAGCTATGAGTGCTGACAGTTGGATAGACGACAGGTGCGCCATGAGAAGACTGGCTGAGAGCTGTACCTGGAAGAGGCTGCTGGATGTGAGAAAGAGAGCCCGTAGATGACCCTACACTACCAGAAGACTCAGAACCTAGGGGAGGAGTAATGAAAAATATGGATTTTTTAAACCTCATGTAAAAATGCAGGTTTTAAATATGTAACAATAAAATCCACATAATATAACATGCAGTTACCACATAAAAGCATTGGCTATTTTTGATTTACTATATAATTTTGCTTCTCCTCTCCATTATCAACAAGTTTAATACAGCAAACTAATCACATAAGTTGTCAGAGAAGTCATAGCCAAAGCATGCAACTTAAGCAAGATTATATAACACCAGCCACAGACAGACACAAAAAGCACATTACCCACATTTCCCAAAGCAAAGTTATGTACATTTTACCTTTTAGATTAACACTTAGGAAAACACAGATTATAATTTTCCCCCAGGAAAAAGAATATAGCACAGCCAAATGCCCAAAAGCTCTTATACCAGAAACCCCTTATCTATAAGAACACAGAAAGATTAAAAGTAGTGTAGATGACAAAAATGATAAATTCTCTATCAAGAGAAACAATTGTGAAGTTTCAATGCAGAATTCCATTTTTATGATTAATTCATAATCATATTATCTTCTTATAATGTAAAGTCAACTTTCAATTGTTTACCATATCAAGGGACAAAGATAGCATGAAAAATATTCTAAGTACTTACAATAGCATCAGTTTTAAAATTTATTTCTCACTAAACTTAATAAATGTGATAATTTATTGTTAGCCATTTTTATCCCTGGAATCTATTTCATTTTCTATTACCCAGAGACTGAAAATGTCACTGATGTTCAGTAAAATGTCTAAAACTGGATAATAAGACAATCAAACAGAGGAAAAGATTTTGAAACTGTATATAGTTAACTAGGTTTTAAATAACAGTTGACTCCACAATGGAGAACTACTCTTTAATGAATGAAATAAACAAATATGATACACTATACAGACTGCTTTCTGAAGGATAACTTCTATTTTAAGTTGTGCCAAATTACTCCTGATAAAAACTCTACCAAAAATAATTTTTCCCTATAAAGACTTAAATAATGTTTAACTCTGCAGATAATACAGATTATAAATAGGAAAAGATCTTAAAATGTTTTAATTCAGCAGTGTTCCTAGATGATCTTCTCATAAATATTTTTTGTTATGATTACTTGTTTCCCAAATAAATGCGTATCTTGTACATATGCATATTTTTACATTAATAAAATTTACTTATGTTTAGCAATATTCTATTATATACACTAAGATATTTTTAATATGCACATTATAATAAGAAAAGGTGACAAGTGCAATTCATAAGCCTTTAACAGTTTGAAGCACTGAGTATAGACAAGGATTAATAAAAAGTACTTGGCCATGTTTAAATCTCTTCTTTTATATTTGTTATCTGTACAACACCATAGGTCTTTGATAACCCAAATAGGCTAAAGATAGACATTTCTGCTAACTTTCAAAGCTTATTTTGGAATAAAAATGAAGATCTACAAGGATCCTAAGAGACATGAGTTTCTTTAGTGTTAAACCCAGTTAGTGAAGGTGAAGAGAAAACGTATGAGCCTAATTGTAAGGTACCCTAAAAGCAAAGAAACTAACAGAATGAGGGAGGATGTTACTAAAATTTTCACTCATTCATAATAATCACATCACATTATTTTTCTTTAATATTCCTCAGAAACTTGCCAGCAATTTTAGTGATTCTTTGAATGGCAAATGAAGGACTTTATCATGAAAAATACAATCAATAACTGACAGTATTATATGTTAAATAAACCTAGGTGAGAAACCAGGCCTTCCAATTACAAATAAGCAATGAAGAATTTCCAACCACCTCTGGGGATCAAGCAAAAGATGACATTTCACTGAACTAACTTGATTAAGTTTATGTCACAAAAGAGGATTTTTACTTTATATGATATTTGTAAATCTCTCTCGAACAGAGAATGAATCCTCATGTCAATACACCCATTACCTCTTAATTACTGTGGAGGTGCTCAATGCACTGCTGGTAGCAATTTTATATGTTAGGATAACTGCAGAAGCCATCTGATAAATAAAGAGCTAAGACAACAATAGGGAAATGAATGTTAGGACTGCACAGTTTTAGACAAATATTTATACCTGTTTTTGAAAGCCTGCCTATGCTTTTGCTGCTCCCAGAACTATCACCTCTTGTCAGGACTGAGATTCCACTGAAGCTGCTGGCTTTGGTTACAGCAGGCTTGAAGTTTCGGAGGGAACTGTCTGAATCTGTGCTGCTCCAGGGCCGTGGTTCAGAATACTTCAGCTCATTCTCAGTGCTGCTTTGATGGCTATTTGTTGATCTCCCTGAAGCATCTTTATTAACTCTGTAATTTAGAAATAAAACTTTGAGAAGCTAACAGGACAAAAGGGGAAAGAACACAGAAAAAAATTGTCTGAGTTTTCAATACTACATGAAAACATGCTTCCAATACCTAAATATCTGACGCCTCTGCTGGGTACTACTAGCATCCTCGTCTTGGATTCTGTTGGCATTTTAATAAGACATTTTAATTTTTATTAGCATCAGTCAGATAGTTAACAAATGAATGTTAAAAATTCCCTCACCTTTTGTCAATAATATAATTCTCTTGGGAACACAGGGACTAGAAAGAAAGAAGAAATATAAAAAGTTGAGATTTTGTCAAATACATAATGCATCCGTAAACTGGTGACGGCAACAAAAATCATGTGTAATAATATGTAAAAAGTATCACTTAGCCCTGCTCCCAGAATCCAAAAGAGTGATAAGGGCACATAAACAACAATGAAATTATTTTTGGCTTGGAGACCCTGTGCTTACTTTTAACAGATACACATACTGAAGCCATTCGATTTTGTGGTACAAATTAATTTGAAATTCAAATAATCTCTTCCAAACAAGTGAATCCCTTTTCACTATTCTGTACTAAAGGTGTACATCGATCTGTAGATTCCACCTCATTCACTCAATAAATATTTTGATCACCTATGCTTTGGTTGTAGCTGGAGCAGTGAACAAGCAAGCAGTTATACCTCAATGTAGCTCAAAACCAAATTGCTCTAAAGCTATTAACTTAGTTCACGCAACCACCATTTTTACTTGTATTATTACAACAGTCTTGTATCTAGTTTTCCAGCCACTAGTTTTCCCCTTTTCATCCAATTTAAACAACAAACGTCACAGAAGTCTTCCTAAAATGTCAATCTTATCACACCGCTTCCCTCTTTTAACAGCTCTCTGCTGTTCACACAGGGGTCAGCAAACTATGGTCAGCCACCTGTTTTTACAAATAAAGTTTACTGGAACACAGTCATGCCCATTTACGTCATATATTTTCTATGTCTGCTTTCACATTAAAAAGGCAGATTTGAGTTGTTGTAATAAAAGACCGCATGGCTCTAAAAGCCTAAAATACTAATTATCTGGCTCTTTATGAAAAGGTTTGCTGACTCCTGCTCTAGCTAAAGACCCAACCACCTTAACCACCTTTCAGGGACAGGTCATCTGCTTCCTGCTTATTTCTCTAATCTAAACTTCCCTCGCTCCCTGTGTCACCTAGTCCAGTTCCTCTGAATTTTCCAGTCCTCATGTGTTAACTTCTCCTTTACCTCTGGGCCTCTGCAAATACTGACTCTCTACTTGGAACACTTAACTCCCTTGGAGTCTCTTTTTGGAAGCTAACTCTCCCTCTCACTCCTCAGTTCCATTTCGTGATGTTTCTTCTCTGCTGTGTCCCTTATTTTACCTTCATGTCTCCACACACATTATAGACCATATTGTCATTTCTTGGCTATTCATCAGGGTAGAGACCTCATCAATCTCACAAACTACAGAGAGAATTACATCTAGTTTATTAGGCTCTGAGTGCAGCAGACCTGGGCTGAAATCCCAAACTCTTGTCATTTTCTAGCTACACGATCTTTCACTACTTAGCCTCCTCAACCTTCAGTTTCCTTATCTGTAAGATAAAGACAATGATAATATCAATCATAGATAGTGCTGTTTGGAGGATAACTTATTTTAAGTATAAATGGATGTGTCCTCCAGTGCCCAGCACAGCACCTACTTTAGGTGCTCAGTAAGATTTTTATGAATATTAACTGATAGTTTGGATTTTAATGATACTCTTTGTTTTTTTAACATTGAAGAAATTTCCATCTCTGGCAATGTTAACACAAATTACATACACTCATATATCCTAGAATAAAACATAGTACTAAACAGAATGGGTGCGTAACAGACACTGGCAAAATCAAACTAAATCTTTTCTCAAATGTATGTATAAAATAATTACCCACTTTAAAGATTTCTTTCACATAAGCACTTAAAAGTAGACAATATTAATCTGAAAATTAGTTTTATTTTAAAAAAAAGGAACAAGTTATTGAGAAAAATCTACTACAAGTAGAACTTAGAGTCCATGATTTTGTAGACTATGATGAATGTTCTAAAATATCTCAAGTCTGTGAGAAGTTTCAAAGAAAAAACAATTATACGAACTACATACTCAGATCAATATACTACTCCTGTAGTCTATCAGCATGCAGCTGTTGAAATATTTATGTAACTGCTATAATGTAGCATTTTATAAACTATTAAGTTATTAACATGAACAAGACAGATTTCTAACAAGTGACTTTATACATAACAAATACGGTTACAAATAAATGACCAATTGATTATAGAAGGACTGAGTCCCTCTAACCCATTTATCATATATTGTAACAGTGGGATCTAAATATAAATCAGTACATACATCTTGGGAAAATATTCGGTCTCTCGCTCTCTGGTACTCTTCTTCTCTTTCTTCTATAGATTTGCTTCTTCTGTCATCTTTCAAACGTATTCTCATCTAAAGAAACAAAAACAATTAACTCCTGGGAAAATTATCAACTGGGGGTAAGTCCAGCACCCAGAGAAAAGCTGCAGTCATGACAGATTACCTGATTATCATCTTTGTCAAAGCTGGAGTTGTCTCTCTTGAGGATATACCGTTTCTGAAAATCTTCACCTTTATCATCCTTAATATGTTCACTGAATTTCTGATCAGGTCTAAAAAATCCCCGAAGGGAACAGGAAAGACAGTACACAACCAGAATTGTTAAATACAACATTTTATGAATGCAAATTACCACTCATTAGTGCCGCTAATAATTAATATTTATGTTATCTCATTTACTCTTCATAATAATCTTATGAAAAGATATTAACTACCCTATGTTATGACTGAAAGGCCATATGGAAAATATACTGTGGGCTCTGGGACTGAACTATTTGGATTCAAATATTCAGCTTTACCACTTTAGTTGCTTCAGGACTTGTGTAAGTTACTTAACCTTTCTGTTCCCTAGTTTCCTCACTCGTAAAATGAATTACAGTATACCTACTTCATAGGGTTGTTCTGAAAATCAAGTGAATTAATCAATGAACTGCATTTAAAACAGTAAAGACTCAGTAGAAGTTTGTTATTATTATAAATATTACTGAAAAAAGCTGAGGTTCAAATGGCTAAGGCTACTGTCCAAGGTCAAGGGCAAGTGAATGACTGAGCCACAGTTGGAGCATTGGTATGTCAGACTCAAAGCCTATTTATCCTCTTTGCATTGCCTCCTCTAAATCTAAGAAAAAATTCTGGGAAAAAGAGAAAAGTATAGTGTTGCATCTTGTATTACAGTCTTACATCTGGTGTGATATAACTGAAAGCAATAAAGTTTTTTGTGGCTGATTTAATTAAAACTTAAGAGGCTAATTTCAAATTCAACCAAGAATTCTTAATTATAGTAGGTACATCTTTGTTTTACATTAATTGAAACAGGTTACAAAAGAAATAGTTCTTTTTTGGAGGTTCAAGTTGTATCCTAAACTAATAATTATAAAATTATAACAATACATTTTATGGCTGATTTTTCTTTCCTCTACAGAAATGTTGCAAGTTCTAATGGGATCCTGAAGACATACATAAGGTTGTAGTCCATGGAAAATTAAAATGATATAAAACTTCCCTTTCTAAAATATACTGTCAGCTTCAACAAATTAATTTAATACTCTTATGACTTAATAACATCCTATTATAAAATTGGAATTACTCTTTTGAAATACATGGCATGTAAAAATACATTTAGAGGTACAAGGAAAGTCTAACTGAAGCCCTGAGTAGTGTTTTACATATAGCTTAAATATGTATCATATAGTGACATAATATACTGTGAATACCAAGTAAATTTCTGAACCAAATAAACCTAAGTAATGACATCTTCAGCGTGACCATATCTATCATTATACAGAATATTCAAGCAATGCTTCTGGATATTTGTTTTAATCTAGTGAATTTTTAATAAAGTACTGTTTCTATATCCTGTCAAATTATGCGAAATGAGATTTAAAAATAAAACTTATCTAAGTAAGTTGAAGAAATCTTTATTTTACAATATACTTAGGTGAAACGAAGGGCAGATCCCCACACAGAGCTATGTATATACAGAACTAAGAAGAACAAGAACAAGAGTAAAAACAATTTCATGACCAAACTGATAAGAAAAAGACTGCTTTCTTTAGTAGGAATTTGAACGATTGTCTATTTAGTTCTGAAGATGGTAGTATGTTGTTATTTCTGTCACAGGGTTACCCTGTTTACTTAGATCAACTATTTTTGTAGCTGTTCAAAGTCATCTTTTCTTACTGAAGGTGTCTGTACTTGGGTGTGAGAGTTACTCCAAAGTCAACTCTAAGGTTTAACCAAGGGCCTGGCAACTTTTCTAAGAGCAGCTGGATTCCCACACCAAATAGCATCGGCAGGCATTTCAGCTAACCTTAAGACTGTCTTACCTCTTTCTTTTATAGATGCCTGAATTTACTGCCCTGCAATCGCCAACTTCCCGCTCCATTGAGACACCCCAGTGGACACCGGGTTGTTGACATCCACAACACCACTGGTTCAAGGCTGGAGCGGGTAATCTGCCTATGAGGAAAAGGTAAGTTTGCATTTATTCAATGTGGAGCAGATCTCTAAGGTTTTCTGATTTACAACCTTCTTCATATTCCAGAAGATATAAAATAAGAATACAGTGTAACTTCAATGATCTGAATGTCTAGTTATAATTATGCTACTAATCCATTCTTTTTTAATTACATCATAAACATTACATTTAGCCAAACTTTTGATTACTTTGATAAAGAGAACCTTAAAGCTTTCTGACATCATTCATAGCATTCAAATAACTGAGGTTACACTGTATCGAAAACCTTAGAGAGTCATCAGTCGAAATGTTAGACAAAATGCCTGCTAATGTACATGTGTTTGGGTATCCAGCAGCTCTGAGTAATGTTGAAAGGTATTGGTTAAATGATTTTGAGTTCTATTCACCTTTAGTTCAGTCATCTTATGGTTGCTATCCTATTTGAGGTACAACTAATTGGGAAATGACTAACTGATGAGGATATTATTAAAAGAGTAAGGAATAAGCAGAGAAAAATTAAGTAAGATTCTCATTTGCAGATAAAATTATCCCTAAAGGAAGACAAGGTCCTTTTCAAAGATATCTATCTTCATTAACTTAATATTAATTGTAGGAATAAACATTTAAAAATTCTAGGTTCCACCAATGTATTTAGTTGAAAAAATACTATATGCAATGGATAAAACCAATTTTATACCCATAAACAATACGGCAGCTATCAAAGTAAAGGTCATTGTTAACAGAAGGCACATAAGTGAATAAATACAACCATGCAAATGAATAGTGCAGAGATAAGACCCTAGTAGCCATCTCTATCAAAATAACACTAGCATTCTTCACAAAGCTACAACAATTCTAATATGTGTATGGCACCAGAAAAGACCCTGAATAGCCAAAGCAATCCTGAAAAAGAAAACCAAAGATGGAGGCATCACAATACCAGACTTAAAGCTGTATTACAAAGCTGTAATCATCAAGACAGTGTGGTACTGGCACAAAAACAGACACTCAGATCAATGGAACAGAAGAGAGAACCCAGAAATGGACACATAAACCTATGACCAACTAATCTTTGACAAAGCAGGAAAGAATATTCAATGGAATAAAGACAGTCTCTTCAGCAAATGGTGCTGGGAAAACTGGACAGCGACATGCAGAAAAATGAACCTGGACCACTTTCTGAATACCATACACAAAAACAAACTCAAAATGGATGAAAGATCTCAACATAAGACAGGAAGCCATCAAAATCCTAGAAGAGAAAACAGGCAATAGCCTCTTTGACCTTGGCTGCTGCAACTTCTTACTTGACATGTCTCCAGAGGGAAGGGAAACCAAAACAAAAATGAACTATTGGGACCCCATCAAGATAGAAAGCTTCTGCATAGTGAAGGAAACAATAAGCAAAACTAAAAGCCAAGCAATGGAATGAGAAAAGGTATTTACAAATGACATGTCAGATAAAGGGTTATCGAAAATCTTTAAAGAATTTATCAAACTCAACACCCAAAAAACAAATCATCCAGTGAAAAAATGGACAAAAGACATAAATAGACACTTTTTCAAAGAAGACATCCAGATGGCTAACCAACACATGAAAAGATGTTCAACATTACTCATCATCAAGGAAATACAAATCAAAACCACAATGAGATACCACTTCACAACTGTCAGAATGACTAAAATTAACAAATCAGGTAACAACAGATGTTGGTGAAGATGTGGAGAAAGAGGAATCCTTTTGTTCTGCTGGTGGGAATGAGGACTAGCAGGGCCTCCCTGGAAAAAAGTATGGGGGTTCCTCAAAAAATTAAATATAGAACTACCCTATGACCCAGCAATTGCACTACTAGGTATTTATCCAAAGGATATAGGAGTGCTGATTTGAAAGGGGCACATGTACCCCAATGTTTAGGGCAGCATTATCAACCACAGCCAAAGTATGAGAAGAGCCCAAATGTCCACGGACTTATAAATGGATAAAGAATATGTGTTATTATAGAGTGGAGTATTGCTCAGCGATAAAAAAAAAAAAAAAAAAAGAAATCTTGCCATTTGCAACAACATGGATGGAACTAGAGTGTGTTATGCTAAGTGAAATAAGTCGGAGAAAGAAAAATATATGGAGTTCACTCATATGTGGAATTTAAGATACAAAACAGATGAATGTAAGGGAAGGGAAGCAAAAATATAAAAATAGAGAGGTAGACACTATAAGAAACTCTTAAATACAGAGAGCAAACTGAGGGTTGCTGGCAGGGTGTTGGATGCAGGTAAGGGCAAGAGGGGTGAGGGGCAATATGGAGGACACCTGGGATGAGTACTGGGTGTTACATGTAAGAGATGAATCACTAATTTCTATTTCTGAAATTATTACTACATTTTATGTTAACTAACTTGGATTTAAATAAAAATAGACCCTAAGAGAAGTATAGCTTCAAGAAAAGCAGAGAAGTAATTAATTTTAGCATTACCTAGGTCATTTGAAGCTGACTGCTGCTCGTTACCACAGACTCACTGCTGCCACATTATGAAATTGATATAGAAAATTCCAATAGGCAGATTACCACCAAAGTATAAATTTTAGCTGAACTTAATTAGTTGCTTTAGGACTAGTTTTAGAAACTGGCAGAGGAGGGGCGCCTGGATGGCTCAGTTGGCTGAGTGTCCAACTCTTGATTTCAGCTCAGGTCATGATCCCAGGGTCATGGGGTTCGAGGCCTGTTTTGGGCTCTGTGCTTAGCATGGAACCTGCTTAGGATTCTCTCTCTCTCTCTCTCTCTCTCTCTCTTTCTCTCTCTCTCTCTCTCTCTCTCTCCCCTCCCCGTCTTAAAAAAAAAAAAAGAAATAGGTGCTGTGTACATGTTAAAATTTTAGGTGCCTCTGCATTGAGTTTTTTAGTTCTAAATACCAGCACTGATGATGTAATGCATGAACACTATAAAGGTATCATCTTTTTAAGCAAATGGCTCCTCTCAACTCCTTATAAACCTTCCTCAGTTAATTGTACACAGCTCAAAAGGAGGAATATAGCATCATGGATAATACTATATTAACCAACAGCCCCACCTTCTTGAGATTTGTGGGAGAAAGAAGCAAAACCAGAGGTTGAAAGAATGGTAAAATGATGGAAGATAAATTGAAAGTGAGGGTATCAAACTTTGCCTCAAAAAAAAAAAAAAAAAAAGCAACAAATTTGCCTAAGATTGGTCACAGCTATCTAAATTACATTAATTAAAAAAATCTAAGTGAATGTTTTTGAAACATCACTGCTACTATGATTTCTAAAGTTTTTTTGTTTTTGCTTTTTTAAACCAGTCCTCATTCATCTGCCTTATTTTAGTCTAGACTGGTGCATTTTGTACCTGGTATGCTAAATGTATTTGTGGCCCTATTACGTAAGGTTGTCATAAAGCTGCTAAAACCGATGGGAAAACCTCAGATGAAAGGTGCTGTAGAAAGATAAAGTATGATCACACACATACTTAACAAATGCCTACATTTGTTGATACTTACATTCTTGTATTGCTAGTTTTGTTTACTATGACAGACTTCCCACTCTGATCAACATTGTGGTCTAATCCAAAGTAAGCAGCTACTCTGTGTAATAGCATCCTATGGTAAGATGTCATTGGGGGAAATTTTTTACGTGGAGACCTAGAAGTAGAAGAAAAACTAATTTAGTACATCAAGGAGAACGATGATGACAATTTGTTTTCTTGTTAAATGTCAGGACTTACTCATTATTACCAATGAAATCTAAAATTTCTTGTTCCAATTTCAACAGCATCATTCTGTCCCTGAAACAAAATATGAAGACTCTTATATATAAAACTTAACAATGAAATAATCATAAACCCTGATTATGGCTAATTTTTTTCCTAAAAACTGTACAATGAGGAGTATCACAAGCTTAATGCTAGAAAATATAGATGATTTCTAAAAAAGGAATATTTAAAAAAAATTAAAGATGACTGATTTTAGTTTAATTTCTTATGGACAATTTCAGACATATACAAATGTTAAGGGAACTATGTAATGAATCACAATGTAGCCTTTATTCAACTTCAACAATTATCAACACGTGGCCATTCTTAAAACAGATATTTAGATCTGCTGAGTGTAACTATATTGGAGTCTGTTCTGTTGATACGTGCATAATAAGAGCATGTTAATCTTTTATTTTCTTACTAAAGCTGAGAAATAGCAAGAAAACAGACATCTTTAGCTAGGTTCATGACTTTGTTATGCTAAACTCCATAGAAACAGTACTCTAAAGAACATGCAATGCCAGTAACAACAGGAATACTCCTAAGGGAATCTAATGCTAGCATACAGATGCAACTATAGCAGAGAAGTATGAATTACATACTAATTCTGACTCAGAAGGAGAAGCCTTTTCAAATCATTCTGTAAACTTGTATTATGTATTTTTAAGACTTAGGAAATTTTTGATCCAAAAATAAAAACGAACCCCAGGCCTTCAACATGAAAAATAAAGGGCTCTAGGGAGTACCTGCATGTGCTCCTTTATACCACTAGAGTCCTATTTAACGCATATATGCTGTAACAATAAATGGTATCACTACTCCCCAAAGGACTTCTTTGCTCACATACCAAGAACATGGCTCAAAAGAGTATTCTTGTGCTCACTGGAAATTTCATGTGCTTGAGAAACGAACAAACACACACACCCAGAGAATCTTAAAACCAGAAGTAGCTTCTCAGATCATTCAGTTCCATCTCTGATCAAGAAAACTAAGCCAAAGGTTAATGTTTCCCTCTCAAATAAGTAATACATAGTCTGTCTCAGACTCTAACAGAGCAGAGAATCTATTGCCCCTGCTTAAGCAGCCTGAAAGTCTATACTATACACCAGCACTGAGTTTTTTTTTTTTTTAATGTTTTTTATTTATTTCTGAGAGAGAGAGCGTAAGCAGGGAAGGGTCAGAGAGAGAGGGAGACACAGAATCTGAAGCAGGCTCCAGGCTCTGAGCTAGCCGTCAGCACAGGGCCCGATGCGGGGCTCAAACCCACGAACCATGAGATCATGACCTGAGCCGAAAGTCGGACGCTTAACCGACTGAGCCACCCAGGCGCCCCAATCAGCACTGAGTTTTGACCCTTCCTCTTCATTGCAAAGAAGTCTCATAAAACAAAGTGATACTTTTGACCATACATTTTTCTCTTGAAAAACCAAGAGAAAAACATGCCTACCTGGTGACTACAAACACAAAGGTCAAACGGGATTACATTTTAAAACAAATTCTAGCAACATTCAATTCTGCCCCCAAACCTGGTTCTCCTTTAGAATTCCTCAACTCAGTAAGTGGCACTATCTTTTATTCAGCATAAAAGAGTAAGAAGCATTTTTGGCTTGCTACAGTCCCTTTTCTAATTCTCCTATGCAGTTAACTACTACTGCAAGTTTTTTTTTTTTAATTCTTTTAATGCTTATTTTTGAGAGAGACAGAGAGAGACAGAGTGCAAGCAGGGGAGGCGCAGAGAGAGAGGAAGACACAGAATCTGAAACAGGCTCCAGGCTCTGAGCTGTCAGCACAGAGCCTGACGTGGAGCTTGAATCCATGAGCTATGAGATCATGACCTGAGCTGAAGTGAGATACCCAACCAATTAAGCCACCCAGGTGCTCCACTAATGCAAGTTTTACCTACCTTCTACCAACTTTTCTTTTATTTCCACTGCTGCTAGCCTGGATTCAAGCAAGCAGGATCTCTGGCTTGACTACTGTAACAGCAGTCTATTGTTTCTCTGTGTCTTCCCTCATTCCCTCCTTATCTATTCTACCTGGAACAGCCCTAATGATCTTTTAAAAACATGTGTGACAGGGCACCAGGATGGCTCAGCTGGTTAAGTGTCCAGCTTTGGCTCCGATCATGATCTCACACTCCGTGAGTTCAAGCCCCACATCAGGCTCTGTGCTGACAGCTCAGAGCCTGGAGCCTGCTTTGGATTCTATGTCTCCTACTCTCTGACCCTTAACTGCTCACACTCTGTCTGTCTCTCTCTCAAAAATAAACTTTAAAAAACAACAACACATGTGTGACCACATGTTATTGCCTTGATTAAATATTTATCACAGGCTTCCCACTGCTCTGATATTAGAAATAAACATCTGTAATGGGGCCTACAAAGTAAGCATGATTTGGTCTTTACCTCTTCAGACTCATCTTCTCCTTAATAACAAAACTCTTATCATTTTGGTTATCTCTGTCTTGCCAAGCTCCTTCCTGTCTCAGGTTACTTGAACATGTTTTCCTTTGCCTCGAACAACTTCCTATTTCTTAGAATCTGTTTCTTTCATACTTTTCTTTAAAAGCATTTGATACAATTATCTTTGTATAGTTATTTGGACTGTATAAAGAGCTCAACAAATGTATCTAAATGGAATCAAGTAATCAAATAATTTCACTCATAAAGTGTTTTAATTTTTTCCCTGAAAGTTTTATAGGAAATTTTTACTTCACTGAGATTTTTACTCCTCCCCTCCTCCCCATCCCCACAAAAGGACTTATCTGTATAATTATAAGACCCTCTTTTCATCTAACCTTTTGAGCGCAACATGTCTTGAGATTATCTAATTCTCAGTAACTTTCCTTATGCATTTTATTTTATATACTTATTGTTTAAAAAAATGGAATCTGAGGCAGACAATTTATTAAGCATTCATGAAACAGTACTTTCAAGTTGATCTTCTGTTTCACAGGTAAATGCAAACATATAATAAAAGTAGTAGATCAATCGCTTTTAAAACCAATATGGAGGTTAAAACACATGAATAAAAGCAATTATATCTACAAAAATCAATCACAAAATATATGGATGTAAAATGTGGTATCATATATATCAAACATGGGGGGTAGTAGTAAGAATTTACTACTATTAGAATGTGTTCAAACTTAAGTGACCATCAACTTCATATAGACTGCTAGACGCATGTTATATATGGGCACAGCAGTAACTACAAATCAAAAACCTACACTAAATGCACACACACAAAGAGAAAGGAATCTAAGCATACCACTAATCAAAGTCATCAAAGCACAAGGGAAGAGAGCAAGAGAAAAAGAAAGGAAATGAGAACTACAAAAATGACCACAAAACAATTAACAACAAAAAAAAGCCTTTAAGTATATCCCTATCAATAATTACTTTAAATGTAAATAGACTAAATACTTCAATTAAAACACATAGGGTAGGTGGATGGATAAAAAAATAGGATCCATCTATACAGTGTCTAATTTCAGACCTAAAAATACATGCATACTGAAAGTGAAGGGATGGAAAATGACCATGCAAATGGTAACAGGAAAAAAAAAAAAAAAAAAAAAAAAAAAAAAAANAAAAAAAAAAAAAAAAAAAAAAAAAAAAAAAAAAAAAAAAAAAAAAAAAAAAAAAAAAAAAAAAAAAAAAAAAAAAAAAAAAAAAAAAAAAGGCCAGGGTAGGAGTACTTATATCAGAAAAGATAGGAAAAAAACAAAATTTGCTTTCTGTTTTTCAACAGTAGGTAAAAGATCTGTGAAATGTGTTTCAGTGAATGTACTGCCACTGAAAAGAAATTTCTGTTACTCTATGAAAGAAAAATCTAACAATTTTACTAGCCATTGATGCATATTCAGGCTGTTTTTCCTTTTTTCCCCCCTTTCACATGTAGATCTATGGATTGCAGAGGATTTCTAATCATTATCTGGACCACTTACAAAATAAAATAAGCCCTCCTGCCTAGTTTACTAAACTTTTAGTTACTAAGAAGTATAACTTGTTAGAAAAATAAGACTGGTAATTTCCCTAAATTCTTAAGATTTACATTTCCTGCCTTTTATCCACCATAGCTTAGCCCAGGCTTCCTGTAGTCTGTAATCAAGGTTAGATAATGTTGGTGATGATCATAAGTTAGAAGATAATAATCCTTTACAGAAGCACTGCATATAGGACTCTAACACATCCACAAATTTCTGAAGGCATAGGTTTAGCAAATGAACCTAAAAGTGGGCATACTTAGTGAAATCATTATATAACCTTTTAAAAGGAACCAATGTATGCTATTATTTAAAAAATAATAAGAACAGGGATCTCAATCAAACTAATACATAAGCTCCTACCTTAATCAAAGAAGGAACAATCTTTTAGTTATTATACCAGAACTTTTCATCACTCCACTAGTCATTATACCAGAAATAACTTTAGAGACCCTATATGCAACAAGCATACCAGTGGTTAAAAAAAAAAGGCAGAAACAATAATGCTTCCATGTGACCACCCCCACCTTTCCAACATTCCATATAAGCTTGGTCAAAATTCTGTAACAGATAATGACTAGTTAGTACAGCCTCTGCAAATACTTCTTGCAAACAGTAATTCCAGATAAACTGTTACTTAACATCTGGAGTTAAGTTTATTTATTTGGCTGAGAATAAGACAAAGATTTAATGATGATAAGAAAAATTCTGAAATGAAAGGTTGACTAAATTTCTGTATCACTAAAAATAAATCTGCTTAAAATCTAATAGAATTCTCTGAGCAATATTCAATCTTGAAAGTTTCAGTGGAAACTCACTATACTTATACAACATTTGTACCATGTAGATCTGGCAACTGTGTTTTCATTGAGAGAACATGGAGTCATAAGTTATTTCTTATAAAAACCTTTTTTCTCACAAAATTTAACATTAGCTACAACTTTCGAAACCATATCGACATTAGTAATAACTTATACATTAGCCATTATTTATGCTTATTCAAATATACATGCATACATAACTAAAAAAAAAGGACTGATAATGCTACAACATGGATGAAACTTGAAAATACTATGCTAAGTGAATGAGGCCAGTCCACAAAAGACATACACATGATTTCATTCATATGAGATGTCCAAAACAGGAAACTCTGTAGAGATATAAAGTAGAGTAGAACTCAGAGCATAGAAAGGTGGTAGCTAAAGAATAGGGGGTTTCTTTTTGGAGTGATGAAAAGTTCTAAAATTGTCTGCAGTGGTGGCTCTACATATCTGTAAACATACTAAGAACCATTAAATTGTACACTTAAAAATACATATGCAGATAACTTTAAAACTTTTATATTTTAGAAGCAGAGAACTGTACAACAGAAAAAAATCTGGGATGTATAAAAATAGATTCCTAATTGTTATTCTTACTGAGGTCTCTCCTATGGGTTCAGAGAAATGAAAAATCCATCCTATCTTGCTTTATGGAAATTAGCTAGGTATTTCCTACCCCCAACCCACTGAGTTCTGGTTTCCCCCATCCCATCCCAAATGAAACAATTTGTTAAAATAGCCACGATCTTCCTAATTTCTTAATCTAATGGACTGGTTTTGGTACTTCTATTTTCATGTCCCTGTGTTATTTTATCTTCCATTAAACAGCTGCCCCCATTCGATCTCTTGCCCAACTTCTACGATAAATGTTCTCATGATTCTTCTGTTTTTAGAACTTAGTCTCTTCCTTTCTCATCTACCTTTTCTATATTGTCTCTCCACAGAATTTTTCCCTTATTTACTTCATCTCTTAGGGCAAATTCATCCTTCTCAAGCTTCATCTCTACTAATGACTCCTAATCCTATTAGTCAGGTCTCATATACTTGAAAACCAGAGCCTTTTAACTGCTGAGAGACCACATCTCCTGTTTTTTCATCAGCCATCTCAAACTATACTTAGAACGTGCCCTATTCCATTCAGGCTTGCCCCTCACCCACTTTCTCAGTTAATGGGACTGTCATGCTAGCCAGAAACCTAGTAGCTATTCTGTTCTACTCTATCACCTCACATCAAATGATCACTAGGTCCCGCCTTGATACTTCCTGAGGATCTTCAAACATGTCGTTTCCTCTCTATTCTTCTCTATGGTGTTCTATCCATAGGACAATATATTCTTTGTTGGCCCCTCATTGCCAAAGTAATCTTTCTAAAATACAAATCTGATTACGGCATTACCCTACCCAAAATTCTTTAGTTACTCTTCAACTCAGCACCATATTCAGTACTTCTTAAATGGTGTGCTATTGACTATTTTTCTTTTCATCGTCTTAAAGATATCTTTAGGATCCCTGGCATCCCAGCAGCACTCCACACTCACTGGGATTCACCACCCTACAGCGATGGTACAATCCGAGCTCGAGAACAACTGGATATGGTCTGTCTTCATACCTCACCAATATTTTTCCCATCACTTTCTAGAATCCCTTGCCACATTCCTCCCTGCTAGACTTTCCTTGGACATACTACTTCCTCTCTCACACTATTGTGCCTTGGTCTGTGCACTTCTATCTATCCTAAAATGCCTTTCTCATGTTTCTCTATATGGATAGCTTCCACTTAAAGCAATATGAATTTAAGGCTCAGCCCAGGCATTACTTTTTCAGTGAAGCCTTCCCATATCCTATCAAAAAGAGGTTGGGGCTCCCTCCTTGTGTTTTTATAGCACCTCCAAAAACTTTTACAACCTCAATTCGATTTTAATTATATATTCTATGTGTTTTCCTAGCTCAGACACAGTGAATACTTTAAGATAGGGATTATATCTTCATCTTTCTATCTACAGTGTTTTCAGCACAAAGCTTGGAACATGACGGATGCTCAGTAAATGCCTTTTTAATGAACTAATGAATTAATCATTCTGTTGTGACCACCACTGAGGAATAAACTTGAACTGAAGAAAAAAAAAGTCAGGCAGACTTGTCTTATTTTCTCTTCACTCTATACTATACTCCTTCAGCCCTGTATACAAGGAGATCACTTTTCATTTTGGTGGTTCTCTTTCTGGGGTTTATGTTAAACGTACAACAGAAAACCATGATGATACTGAATACAATAAATCTTTAATGAAAATAAAGATGATCTTGAAGCATGACATGAGATAAGCCTCAAAGAGACTACAGAGAGTTATTCCTGTTATCTTCCACATGCATATACCCAAAGAAAGTGTTTTACTTTCATTTTAATGGATGTTAAAGAACTCCACTCTGGGAAGCTAATATCTGGAGGTGGGATTCTTAGCCTTGGAGTTTTCTAGCCCATGAAAGTGTTTGGCAGATATTTGGTAGATAAGACTTTTGGTGGGGAGAAGGCCACAAAGGGGTCAATGACCTGCCAGAAAGTTAGCATGTGTTCATTCATTAGTACTCTGGCAACACAAAGGGTTTCACAGTGACCCATATAAGGACCTTAAAAATCTTTAGGTTGAAGGTTAATACACAAGAACGAACAAAAATTCTGCAGTCAGCTAAGTTCAAAAACTCAAAATGAATACACTAAGCTCTTATTTGGTTGAGTGTATAATTTTAAGGGAATTTTTTTTTCTTTTCCACAATTCATTATTACCTCTCTACCTCAATTTTGACTCTCAATTAAGAGTCAAAATATCTTGATGATTCTGTATTTCCAAAAATTCCTACAAAAAGGATGAATTGTTTTTATATCACGGGACATGAATAATGCAAAAAAAAAAAATTATACATGTGCATACAGTAGACCAACGACATCTTAGCCCTAGGAAACTAAAATGTTTCTGGTGTACTTTAAACACTGCAATCTTATTCTAATATTCTAACTCAGTAATGAAAACAAACACAGCAAAATTATGGTACTCCAAGCAATGTAAACTTATAAATTTAATTTTTACCTGGGATTGTTTTTTAATGTATTTACTAAAAATTCATGTAGATCTATGCCAGTTGAATCAGTGTATTCTTGACTGGAATCTAAAAAACAATAACACAAAAAACCAGTATAAAGTAGTTTGAAAACAAATCCTTTTCCCTTTCACACATGATGCATATTTTTAAAAGAATGAGATGCCCCACATGGGAAAAAAACTGATAAGGAAGGCAAAGGGAATTTATGATGAACTCAGATGACCACAAGCTTTCTACTCCCATATCATGAGCATGACATATATTTATATAACTGCATGTACATGCATATTCTTAAATATTTTTCTCTCACACATGCCATGCCAGTTCAATTTACTCTAAAGTCTTTAAAGACCCTTTTATATACTCACCACAATTCTCATCATCAAAAATGCCTCAAGTGAAAAATTAGAATTAAATAACTATCCATATTTAGCACAAATTAAGACAGCTTAGTTCAGTTATGAATATAAGTAGAGGCAGTAATTTAGAGGTAGGAAGGAACTCTAGTTCTGAAAGAGTTATTTAGATTTAATCAAGTCTATCACCAAAGGCTTGCTTTCAAAACAGTTTTTCAAATATTCATGTTTAAGTTCTTCCCCTTAAATGTAATATACTATTTGTAATACTGGCCAATGTAACTGGTTTTATAAAGAAGTACTGTTATTGACTTGAAATACTAGATGATGAAGTTCCTTGAAATCTGTTATAAAAGATCAACCTTCTGGGTTTCTAAGAATACTCTTACTGGATACTGAATATTTTGGAATCAGCTTGTTGTATCATACAGAATTAAAGAGTAATATTATTTTTAGCAGAATCAAGTATTCAAATTATACTGTTCTAGTCTTTCATTAGGACAGACCAATTAGAGGTCAAAACAGTGATTCTGCCTCAGTGATTCTGGCATATGTTGCAGTTTTTTAGTTAAAGCATCTTAGTGATATTCAGAATCGTGTTATGCCATTTTGCCCAGATGAGCAAATTATTTTGACACCCTTTCAGTCTGTTATCAGTTTTACTAGAGATATACTATATATAAAGTTTCAAGGGATAAAGAATAGAATAATTGACGGTAAAATTAAAATTTTGTTTGAAAACAGAAGTAAATTGCAAACCTCTTGATAACATTTTTCTGGGCAACTTATCACTGGCTTTTTCTTTTTCTGCTTCATCTTTTGAGGGCTTCTCCTCTTTTTCAAATGATTGCGTTAACTGGATCTGAATTTTCTCCTGTTGGAAGGCAAAATCAGTTATAAATGAAAATATAAAACAATTCAGTTACTACCACACATTTATATTTTTTGAGTGACACAAAACTGTTTGGAGAAAAAGGATAAAGATTTTTATGTTAACCAATTAGATTCTCATACTGGACAACTTAATATTTTACCATTTTTATCAAAGTCTTGATAAAAAAATGTTAAAATTAATGTTTTGAGTTCAATGTATCAATTTAAACATATCCTCAAAATTACTTTAGAGAACATAAATATTTTCTATATTACTCTGAATGTATCTACTTATAATAAAAACACTGGAAGGTCAGAAGCAAGGTCTTCTTAGCCTATTTTTGTACTGGAGATACCATGAAAAGAATAATGACCATCAATCATGATGAGTGAGTGTCAAGTCAACACTTAACCAAAAAAAGTATTTTGAGTATCCATTATAATCTCACACTCTTCCATTCTCTTGCCATATAAAAATATAAGTACAAACTTTCCAAAACCAAATCCACACATCTGATTATTTTCTATTTATGACTGATGTATTACTGTTCCCCCTTCAATCACAATGTTTTAGAAAGGTTTCAAACAAGATTGTTTTCCTTCTGTATGTATAAAATTTAATATTGTAAAGTAACCATATTCTATAAAACAGAAAAAGAGAAAGAATTCTACATTCCATTTCATTTCAAAAATAACAACATTACATGTAATTTCAGAACCCAAAGAAAACACTGGAAATTAATTTACATAACCTAAAAAGGTAAAAAAATAAAAATAACAACAAAGAAAAATCACAAAGCTCTGTTTATTCAGGCAAAGTCACAAAGGAAGAATAATTTCCAGACCATTTCTACTAAAGATGGAGGTATGACCTTTTTGTAGACTGAATGATAATTATTTAGTGATGAAAAACACTGATCAATTACTTCACTTTTCTCGGTGACGGCTGTGGTGGAGATAGATATAATAAGTCAACATCAAAAAGGATATAAATTTCAGGAGTTGAACTTGCAGGCACAGAATTTTATTAACCTTTTTTTTACCCATGTAATTTAGGGTTGCTGACTATTTTCATCTCTTTTTTTCTTTTGCTTCCTATTTCATCTCAGTTCAAATTTGTGCTTAGAATATAGGGCAAAAGCTCTGCACTGGCAATTTTTACTAGAATGATGAACATCTGGCTTTATGCCATCCTTTGTCTTGCCTACCAAACTTCATATATTAATCAACTTCATACATTCATCAACTGGTAAGTCATTTTTCTCATTATGACTCATTTTCTAATCCACTTTCTTTATTCTATATCTAAATGTAAAACAGATATTTAAAAATGAATCCCAGAGCTATCTTTCAGTAGTAGAATATTACAGAAGCTTTCCTGACTTAGAGACCTTACTGCTAACTCAAAAATAATCTGTAGAATCCAGGTTGGAAGAGTTCAAATTTAGGCCTTCACTAAAAGCCGCTTCACTGAGTATCAGATTTCATTCCTAAATTCCCTTCCCAAAGCCTTACATTTTAATTACAGATATTAAACTATTTTATCAAGATGAACTGTATTTAAAAATACAGTAGGCTTCACACACCATACACTAAAAGGCCTTGCTTTTAGTAGCAAATAAACAAGACATATTAAAAAACCCAGTATTCCTTTTAAATAGACTCTTCTGACTATAAATAACTGGAAGGATAGCAACATCTCCACAGGAAGCTGTAATTTCTTTACTCTTCATTCTGTCATTGACATCTGTTATTGAGGTCACTTCCCTCTCATAAGCTCTCATCAGACACAAGTGACATCTCTTTTTTAATTGCTTCTCAAACTTTTGACTAATGAGTTTTATTGCAGATTAATTTCTCAAAAATCACATTCTGAAGTAGGCATTATTAATGGCAAAGTGTCTCTACTGCCGAGAATTAGATACTAGCATATTTCATGAGAAACAGTTTATTTTCTAACTCCCATTCACATGCGATTTAGTTAATTCAAGACTTGGAAGAAGATGACTTTCTACCAAAAGGAATAAATATCTTTTCCTCAGAGACAATAATAACATAATAATGGGTTATTATCTGAAAATAAAAAAAAAATTATTGTATCCAAGAGAAAGTGAGAAAGAACCTATGAAGTGTAATACTGAACTCTGGCATAAACACCTTATTCATCATTCATATGCTATAACTTAGTTTTTGAACTTTATACAAACACAAAAATTATGTGTTCAATAATGTATAACATCAATATACAACATACACTCTAGATATTAATTTTTTCACATGAATTTTCACTAGACATATGTATGGAATTTTCCCTCCAGTATTTTTCAGATCAGGTTAAAATGTACAAAGATCACATCATCCTTTTTCTCATAAAGTATGCAGTTTTCTTTATTAATAGTCTAATGATGAATGGCCCTTTTCATTTCTTCAATATCTTTGGACTAATTCCAGGAGGCCAAGATGGTCTAACAGTTTGGTCAATGGAATGAAGAAGTGAATTTTCAAAAGACATTACAATATCCACTGCTCCCCCTTGTATAGGTGTATTCTTTACTCTGACCTGTATAAAATAAATTTTAAGACTGCTATTTCAAAAAAAACAATTTCATTGATTTCTTCCAAAGTACACCATAACCCTCTAGCCTTATTAACAACCACGTAAAAGCCAAAGGTTAACATTTAAAAATGTTCTCTAGGCAATAGTTCTTAATAAAACATTTTGATTGTATTTCTGCTTCTTGCTAGAAAGTTCATTATTACTAAAGCATATATATTTTATAGAATAAATACATAGAGCTATCTATGTAGTTAAATCTTAAATAAACATCCTAAAATTTGAACCCTATGTTCCTGACACTTGAACAAATTTCAAAAGAAACTAATTTTTGTACATTCTTCAATGATAAAAAATAATTTATTTTCAAAACCTTCCTTTTCTTGTATTTTGGAAACAAAGAAATGAAGTGCTTTTAAAAAACCCAACATGTTCTGAATATGTGACAACTATCTTTCATATCATATCATTCATTTCATATGAAGCTTTTGAGGGCATCAGCTTCTAAATCAAGGTAAAGTATAATAGTTTTTTTGGGGGGGAATTAATAAATGTACAATTGGCATTTATAAAAAAAAAAAAAGACGTACAACCTGCCATGGCCTTTTTTTTTAACCCTTTCCGCATTTTAGTTACAGTTTCTTAAATAACTCAGCAGTTGCTTCAATTCTTTGAAAATTATTATTGATATAGAAGAGGATATCGGGCTGCTCAAACTCTGAAGTAGAACAAACCACCCAACAGGCAGTTATCACACTGATAAAAACATTGGTTAAGGGTCCTAAATTATTTATGGATAAATGTCCAAAGGTAACATGAGACAAAGATCAGTGCATAGCTAAAATTATTAGAAAAGTAAAGTCATGGCATTAAAAAGAATATATAAAGGCAAACAGAACCATTTGCTTGAACCTCTGTTATTTGATATTTTATAAGTACAGACAGAAGAGAAATTAGAAGTATTAAACTATTATAGCCAACCTAACTAGAAAACTGTCTTCAGCACGCATTCAGGTTAATAAGTAAAATAATATATCAAGCCAAAGTCTTGGGTAGTCTTCTCTTCACACACAAGCAGTAAGTGTTTAATAAATTTATAAACGCCAAAAAAAAAAAGGGGCAAATTTCATCACAATTATGCTAAGTAGAACTACTACTTTAATATAACTTTTCAATAGTAATTTATAATCCCTTAAAATCATATGCCCAGTTAATTCTATAATCTCTAAAATTTTCCAGAGACAAACCACTGCACCAAGTCTTAGAGTGAAGCAACAAGGTTTTTCCGACTTTTATCTGTATCTTCAGTGGTATTATAAAGAGTTTCACTCATTTAAAATAAAACAAACAAATGAAAACACATACATAATGCACACACATGCATATACAACTTTTATTTAACCTTATGAAAAAATACTCTCTAGGAAACAGGTTATTGTACCATGCCTTTAAATAACATTTTTTTTGTTTTTTGGTTTTTTTCTTTTTGTTTTTTTTTTACCTGGTTCTCCTGTGATATCTCTGCTGTAGGGGGTGGTGGAGATTCTTCACACACTGCAAGGCTCCGAACTAGCTTTAACTTTGAGCTCGACTAAAGAAAAGTATTTAAAATTAACACTACATTTCACAAATCTAGGGCATATCTAAAAGCCCCCTAGAGTTTAAGTTTCTTTATAGTTTCTGCCATGTATAAAAGTAGGTGAAATGCGCAAGTTAAATATATCATTAAACACCACTAAAACCTTTTGTTAAGAGGGAAAACAAATATAGTTTTGAAAACTATAGCAATAGCAAGAATGGAACTAATTCCAATTTCAAAAACCAAAGAATGGTAAGAAAGCCATTTTCTCTATAGACAGAGAACCATTAAAGATATAAAAGCAATGCACAAAAGCGACTAGGCAAGACAAAAACCCCAAATAAAACAAAATAAGCTTTCTGCCCCAAACAAAATATGACAAAACTAAACTGAATGCAGCGCTGTATGAAAATAAGGATTCATCAAGCATGAAGGAAGGCCCTTGGCATGCCAGCACAAAATATTTACTATACCTTAGACCTTTTTCCTGTCTGTCCAAAGGACTGCAATGGCCGCTGAACACACAAGAAAGAGCTGTATTAAATTTCATACTGAAATAAAAATGTTTGTTGCTTAATTCATAATCCTAAACCACAGAGAAACTATCTGCACAAAGTATTGGAAATGAGGAAGTCAAAGTTGGTGTTAAGTAAAAAAGTACTGATTCCTCCCAGAATCACACTTAACAGAATATTCTCTAAAACCCTTCTGTGAGTATTTTGGTATTTTCTTTAAGTCAGCAAATGGCCAAAACTTCCATTTAACTGAGCTAAGTGAACTTATAAAGTAACTAGATAGTACTAAAATAAAATATACCTCTTAAGTATTTGGTAACATATTACACTTAGCAAAGTTTAGGACACACACACACACACACACACACACACGAGGGATTTTAAGTAACTGCTTAGAAAAGTTGCCAAACTTACTAAGAATGTTATAAATGCACATTGAGTCACTACTGAGTCTTTTTAACACTATAAAGAAGTACATCACCAGTTTATTAATGATGGAATACTATTTGCCTGGTCTAGGATAAGGCAAAGAAGTAGAAAGAAAAGAGGGCAATTACAATATGCATTTAATTCACCATGACTGTGAGATCGCGTGACCTGGACACGTGCTGGGGCAACCAGTTCTAGTTTGTGATACCAGGCTTTGGTTTGGGAAAGCAGCTGAAGTGCCTGTGAACTGAAGTCAGAGAGGTATTTGTTTTGGTTTGGTTTTTTTTTTAACTTTTTTTTTAATGTTTATTTTTGAGAGAAGGTGAGAGAGTACAAGAGAGTGGGGAAGGGGCAGAAAGAGAGGGAGACATAGAATCCAAAGCAGCTCCAGGCTCTGAGCTGTCACCAGAGCCCAAGAAGGGGCTCAAACCCGTGAGATCATGACCTGACCTGAAGTCTGATGCCCAACGGACTGAGCCACCCAATGCCCCCAGATAGGTTTTAAACACACTTTACTTCTTCCCACATCCTTCCAATCTATGTCTCAACTCCAACCCCCAACAGGTATCTATCATCCACACACACTGAAAACAGGAAGCTAGACTGGTTCCAAACATAAAACAGGTAAAAAAAAAAAAAAAAAGTCCTTAATGCCTATGTTAGTATGCTTCACATATGAAAAAAAGAGCCAGTATCCCCTATAGTAATTGTTTATAGAGTTTTTATAGACTTATACATGTATTCACCAGCTCAGTTTTAATTCATAAGGAACCTTTGCTGACAATGAAGATAAGAAAAGAGGTAAAATTATCTCAATGTGACTTCATTTAATTAACATGTTCTGAATTCCTGCTTTTATACAAGACATTGCCAGGCACTGGGCTACAAAGATGAGTAAGACTGTTTCTGGTCTCAGGAAACTTAGAGTCCAAGTTCAGAATTACTAAACAGTCAAACGGAACCCAAGACCTTCAAACTACTACTTTGTGACAGACAAAATACTAAAGATGGACTCCCCATATTCCAATTCCCTATTTAATCAAACTCAAACTCATACTTAGACCTAGCTGCAAGGAACTAAGTTAAGCCAGCAAGTGGAATGATCTTGGAAGCAAATTGTTCCCCGAGTCTTCAGATTAGGGCCTAGACTGGCCAACACCTTTGATTATGGCTTTGTGAAACCCTAAACAAAGAACTTGGCTGAGCCCAACTTAGCTTTTAATCTACAGAACTATGAGTTGACAATTGGATGTTACTTTTAAGCTTCTAAATTTACAGTAATATGCTATGCTGCAAGAGAAAACTAATATACTACTACATAAGTAGATTATATAGTGCCAAACGGCCATTATTCAGTAAAAATTGGTTATACTTTCACTTCAAATAGCAAAGAACTGAAATTACATAATACATACACAACAAAGCAAAGAAAAACAAGTTCTGTTTATTAAAACAAATAGCCTTTGTTTTATATTTTGGTATCAATTTGACAGCCAGTATTGGCTTTAAACAGGAATTATTTTAAAAATTATCCTATTATTTAAAAAATGCTTTCACTTTTTCCTCAATTTTTTTTTAATTAGGGAAAAATATACATAAAACTTACCATCTTAACAGTTAAGTGTACATATCAGTAGTATTAAATACATTTACAATGTTGTGTAGCCATCACTACCAACCACATCCATAACTGTACATCTATTAAATAAAATTCCCATTCTCCTCTCCCCAGCCTCTGGCAACCACCATTCTACTTTCTGTCTTAATGATTCTGAATACGTTAAATACCTCATAAAAGTGAAAGCACATAGTATTTGCTTTTTGTGACTGGATTATTTCACTTGGCATAATGACCTCAAGGTTTATATATGTTGTAGCATATTGCAGTATTTCTTTCCTTTCTAAGGCTGAGTAATATTCGATTTTATGTATATACCAAAATGTGCTTACTCACACATTCATCTGTTGATGGATGCATGTGGGGTGATTCAATGTTTCAGTTATTGTGAATAATGCTGCTATGAACATGAATATACAAATATTTCTTCAAAATTCTTTTATTTTTTGGGGGGGGTACTTAAAAGTGATTTTGATTGATTATATGGTAATTCTATTTTTAATTTTCTGATTAACTGTTATACTGCTTTCTATTAGTGGCTATTCCATTTTAAATTCCTACCAAGACTGTACAAAGTTTTATTATTAAAAATTTTTTTTAACACTTATTCATTTTTCAGAGACAGAGTGCAAGTAGAGGAGGGTCAGAGAGAGAGGGAGACACAGAAACTGAAGCAGGCTCCCAGCTCTGAGCTGTCAGCACAGAGCCTGATGCAGGACCTGAACCCACAAACCGTGAGATCATGACCTGAGCCAAAGTTAGATGGTTACCCAAATGAGCCATCCAGGCACCCCTACAAGGTTTTAATCCCTCCACCTCTTGCTAACACTTGCTTTCTGGTGTTTTATATCCATCCTAATGGGTATGAGGTAGTATCTCATTGTAGTTTTTATTTGCTTTTCCATAGTGATTAATGATGATATGTATCTTTTCATGTACTTCTTGGACATTCACAGATCTTTGAGGAAATGTGTATTTAAGTCTTTTGCCCATTTTTGAATAGGGTTGTTTCATACTTGTGTTTTTAGGAATTCTCTATATATTCTGATTATTAATCACTTGTCAGAAACATGATTTATAATATTTTCTCCTAGTTTATGGGTTGCCTTTCTACTCTGTTGACAGTGTCCTGTAATGCGCAAATAAAAAATTTTTTTGGCAGACACTGCGGCCCTGGAATCACCTATGCCACCCAGCCATGGTCAACCCCACCGTGTTCTTTGACATCGCTATGGATGGTGAGCCCTTGGGCTGCATCTCCTTTGAGCTGTTTGCAGACAAAGTCCCCAAAACAGCAGAGAACTTCTGTGCTCTTTCTGGGAAGAGAGAATTCAGTTACAAAGGTTCCTGCTTCTACAGGATTATCCAGAGATTTATGTGTCAGGGTGGTGACTTCACATGCCATAAATGCACTGGTGGCAAATCCATCTACAGGGAGAAGTTTGATGATGAGAATTTCATCCTGAAGAACACAGGTCTTGGGGCGCCTGGGTGGCTTAGTCGGTTAAGCGTCCGACTTTCACTCAGGTCATGATCTCGCGGTTCGTGGGTTCGAGCCCCGCGTCGGGCTCTGTGCTGACTGCCAGCTCAGAGCCTGGAGCCTGTTTCAGTCTGTGACTCCCTCTCTCTCTGACCCTCCCCTGCTCACGCTGTCTCTCTCTCTCCCCTAGAAATAAATAAAACATTAAAAAAAAAATTTAAAAAAAAAAAAAAAAAAAGAACACAGGTCTTGGCATCCTGTCCATGGCAAATGCTGGACCCAACATGAACGGTTCCCAGTTTTTCATCTGCACCACCAAGACTGATTGGTTGGACGGCAAGCAAGTGGTGTTTGGCAAGGTGAAGGAGGGTATGAGCATCGTGGAGGCCATGGAGCACTTTGGGTCCAGGAATGGCAAGATGAGCAAGAAGATCACCATTGCTGACTGCAGACAAATCTGATATATTGGACTTATGTTTTATTGTAACTACTAGACCATTCCTTCTGTAGTTCAGGAGAGTGCTTTTCCAACCCCCTCTGCTCAGAATCCCCTAGAATCCCTGTGTTCCCACTGCAGTTCTGCAGTTTGTGTCCTCCTTAGCCCCCTCTAAGTTTAGCTGGATTGCAGAGTAGAGTTCATGATCATGAAATAAAAGCTAAACAACAACAGCAACAATTTTTTTTCATAAAGTTCAATTTGTCTTTTCTTCTGTTACCTGTGCCTTTGGTGTCATAGACAAGAAATGATTGCCAAATCTAATGTCATAAAGCTTTTGTCCCAAGTAATCACCTTCCACCCTTTTAGAAATTTTGATTTGTAGTCCACTTGATATTCTGATTAGAGTAAGAGAAGTTAGAAATATGCTTTACAAACACTGCATTGTTGCTACCTTGTGATATGGCTTTAAATGGATTGTATACAGAGAAAAAGTAACACTGGAATTAAGGCAATAACTACATATGCAAACCAAGCAAAGTACTCTTGACACAGCCCTTAGTAAATAGCTCTTTTGATTAGGTGATAATTGATATTGCTGCAAGCAGGTCAGTTATTGTTTTGAATGGCTTCATTCATTTAAAAAAATTCCTCCTACTGGCCCACAATAGTCAAAGGAAGTCTTTGCTAGTCTCCACTGGTGTCACTTGGAATCACTGTGCCTACAATATTCTGATATACCTAAATGAACATCTGTTTTATCTGTACAAGATTAATTTCTCCAGTGACCACGATCCTGATCAGGGTGGAGACACCTGTGTTAGTACATTTCATGGAATAGCAGTCTTTCAGTAAAAAAGCAAGGCAGTTCAGGGTACACTGCAAGACAGTCTTCAGACTGCTTTTTAACTCATGGCCAACACTGCTTAACAAATCTTGATTAGCCATCCTGGAATAAGCCTCCACGGTAGTTTTTAGCTGAGGGAAGATACTTATTGCAAGAATCATGTTAAAGCAAGATTCACATGTCCCTAGTCTCCCCAAACCTGTTTGACAGAGATGTGGAATATCTTCCTGAGCCAATTGGTAGTATGTATGCATATGAGCTTATTAGCATTTTATTTTCCCCTTCCAAAACCCATCCATCTTGAGGACACTCTGGCTATCTTCTCTGACTTTCATTTGCCAAGTCTCACTAATTAGGAAGCACACTCCACCCTTGGTCAGGAATGCCTCTTAGAGTGTTCTCATTTTTGCAAATATTGTAGCATTTACAAGACTCAACAAAAAGAGCTTGGGCTCATTGTAAAATGCACTGAAACACAGATGCTGCTTTTAGGGTAGTTGGGGCAAAAATAAGCTTGGGGAAAATGACCAGAGAGTTATCACTGCTCTGGAAAACCACATGGATGTAGAAGGCTGGAGGTGAGTCTTGGTTATGCCACTGGCTCTCCAGGTGACCCTGGCAAATCATTTCCATGGGTGTAGGTATCTGGAAAATGAAAGGGGTGCTCAGATAAACTCTGGGAACTTTAGTTGTGACTCTTTGTGTTTTATGAATTTAACTCCAAAATGGTGAGTCACTACCATGAGCATCTCTTGTGAACTCAGGATCTTTTTTGGGAGAAATGTCAATGGGATTAACAGAGAGAACCTCTCTTCCAAGGCACTTCTTCCTCAGGTTCTTAAAGGATGATGGTGGTGAAGAATACCTCCACAAATGGCCATGATATTCAAATAGAAACCCATCCACCCTGAACCCAAACACACTCTGTCTGGGTCTGGCACCAGAAGACTACTAATATAGACTTGTCTAAGATCTCAGCATCCACTGTTTTCTTGAAAGTGTGATATTCTCTCTGGTAATACTGAACCAGGCCAGTGGCTTTCCTATCATTGTCTGTGGGGCCATGATCAGCGTACTGCTACTCTGGGCTATGTGTGTTTCCACTGGAAACACCCAAGGTTCAGACAGTCTGGCTTCATTAATCATTTGGTTGGAGTAGCTTCCACAGTTTAATGGTTGTTTTCCTTTATTAGTGTTGTTGCTTTTGTCTTAGGCATCTTACAACCTCACTGTTCAAAGTATAGCCCAATACTGGCACCAGCTGGGAGGCTGCTGAGATGCAGAATTGTGGGGGTACCACCCCCACCTTCTTCAGTCTGTTTTGTGGCTTTGCAGTATTCAACCTTTGACTTCCTTTAAGCTGTCAACTTTTAACAGGTCTGGCAGCTCCAGCTCCATGGCCCCTTCTTTCTTGGGTGTGCAGATTGCAGCAGGTATCCTTGGGAGCAGGGAATGTCTTGGGGGTGGGGCTGGAGATGAGAAAACCCCCTTGGTGTCCTATCTAAGATATCACTGCCAAGTCCAATGATTCCTCCCTGTATTCTTCTAAGAGTTTCATAGTTTTGGCTCTTACATTTAGGTCTCTCACTGATTTTGTGTTAATTTTTATATATGGCATTAAGTAAAGCTCCAACTTCCTTCTTTGCATGTGGATATCCAGCTGTACCAGCACCATATGTTGAAAAGACTATCTTTCTCTATGGTATTGGCATGCTTTTCAAAAATCATTTGACTGGGGCACCTGGGTGGCTCAGTTGGTTGAGCGTCCAACTTCAGCTCAGGTCATGATCTAATGGTCTATGAGTCTTAGTTCCCCATTGGGCTCTGCACTGACACTGTGGAGCCTGCTTGGGATTCTCTCTGTTTGCCCCTCTCTTGCTTGCACATGCACTCCCCTTCTCTCAAATATTAAAAAAAAATTTTTAGAAAGTCATTTTACCACATATACAATGCAAGCATTTATTTCTGGGCTATATCATTCCATTGGTCTGGATGTTTGTCTTTATGCCAATATCACAGTCTTGATTACTGTAGCTTTGATGTAAGTTTTGAATTGGGGATGTTAGGGTCCTCCAGTTTTGTTCTTTTTTCAAAACCATTTTGGTGGGTGTGTAGAGGAGTGAAATGAGTAAAGGGGATCAAGAAGTATAAAGTTCCAGTAATAAAATAAGTTACACAGATGTTTTGAACATGGGGAATATAATCAGTAATATTGTATTAACTCTGTATGGGGACAAATGGTAACTAGATTTACTGAGTTATACATTTCACAATGTATACAAAGACTGAATCACTACATTGTACACCAGAAGCTAATATACTGTATGCAATTAATCTTCAATTAAAAAAAATTGTTTTGGCTATTCTGGGTCCTGGGAGGTTCCCTACAAAATTTAGAATGGGTTATTCTATTTAGACAAAATATGTCATTTGGATTCTGGTAAGGATTACATCAATCTATAGATCACTTTGGTTATTAACATTTTTACAATATTAAACTTTTTTTAAAAAATATTTTTATTTATTTCTAGGAGAGAGAGAGAGAGAGAGAGAGCGAGCAGGGGAGGGTCAGAGAGAGAGGGAGTCACCGACCGAAACAGGCTCCAGGCTCTGAGCTGGCAGTCAGCACAGAGCCCGACGTGGGGCTCGAACCCACGAACTGCGAGATCATGACCTAAGCGAAAGTCGGACGCTTAACCCACTAAGCCACCCAGGCGCCCCAACAATATTAAACTTCTGTTCATAAACATGGAATGTGTTTCCATTTAGTTACGTCACCTTTAATTTCTTTAAGCAATGTGTTATAGTTTTCATCACACAAGTCTTTTACTTCCTTAATTAATTCCCAAGTATCTTATTCTTTTGATATTGTTGTAAATGGAATTGCTTTTGTAATTTCTTCAGATTATTCATTGTTAGTGTACAGAAATGTAACCCATTTGTGTGTGGGGGTTGATTTTGTATCCTGCTACTTTACTATATTCATTTCATAGTTTTAATAGTTTTCTTGGGGGGGGGAATCTTTACATTTTGCATATAAGATATCATGTGCAAAGAAATAATTTTATTTCTTCCTTTCCAATTTTGATGTCCTTTATTTCTTTTTCTTGCCTAACTGCTTTGACTAGAATTTTCAGCACTATGTTGAACATAAGTGGTGAAAGCAGGCATCTTTGCCTTGTTCTTGATCTTAGAGGAAAAGCTTTAGGTCTTTTGCCATTGAGGATGATATTCAGTATAGGTTTCTCATATATGGCTTTTATTATGTTGAGGCAGTGTCCTCTAGTACTAGTTTTTTTAAGTGTTTTATCAAGAAGGGGTGTTGAATTTTGTAAAATGCCTTCTCTGCAGCAATTGAGATGATCAAATGCTTTATTCCCTTCATTCTGTCAACATGGTGTGTTGCATTGCTGAGTTTATCTGAACCATCTTTACAATTTCAGGAATAAATCCCACATGGTCGTGGCATATAATCCTTTTCATATGAGGCTGAATTTGGCTCATAAATATTCTGTTAAAGACTTTTGCATTAATGTTCATAAGGGACAGTGGTTTGTCATTTTCATTTAGAGTCTTTATCTGGCTTTGGTATCTGGTAATGCTGGCCACAAGGAAGGAGTCAGGAAGTGTTTCCTTCTCTGTAATACTTTGGAAAAGTGTAAGAAGGACTGCTTTTACTTTTTTAAAGGTTTGGTAGAATTCAACAGTAAGGCTAACAGGTCAGGGATTGATTCAATCTCCCTACCAGTTATAGGTCTACTCAGATTTTGCTTCTTCATGATTTAGTCTGGTTAGGTTTTATGTTTCTAGCAATTTGCTCATTTCATCTCGATACCCAATATGTTGATACACAATCGTTCATAGTAGCCTTTTATAATCCTTTTATTTTGTAGAACTGGTAATAATGTCCCCACTTTTAATTTCTAATTTTAGCAATTTGAGTCCTCTTTTTCTCTTAGTCCTTCTAGCTAAAGTTTTGTCAATTTGTTGATTTTTTTTTGAAGAACCAGTTTTTGGTTTCACCGATTTTCTCTACTGTTTTGCTTCTCATTTTTACCAGAATTTTACTGTCACATTAAAAATTTAGCAGGTTGCTTAACAGACCTTAACCACTCTAGAAGGATACTAATTAAATTAGAATTTGCAAGGCTTAGGGACAATGTCCCCAATTTAAAATT